TGTGGTGTAGGGTGACCGTGTGATACATGTTGCAATACTGTACAGCGCAAGTCGCAAGCTGCCCAAACCCAAGTCTCAGGCACCATAACGACTTCAAGTGAAGGGAGAAATGGGGGGATTCAGGGGTACAGTAGCGAGGGGGGTTGGGCGGAGCGAGGGGGAAAACGACGGTGCACGAGGGGAAACTTTAAAGCCGCGGTGCAGATATCTTAGGAGCAGTGACAAACAGTTTTTTGTCTTGTTCCTTCCTGGTCGCCAATTGGCTAGCGAGAGAGTAGATTGTGTTGCGATGAAGAGAAAAAGGAAACAACTGATGCGAACGTCGCCAACCTCGAAAGTGAGGGGGAAGGGGAAGGGGTGGGGGGAGGGAAGGGGGGAACACACACGACAACGCGAAATTCGAAACCCATGAGTATGCCGTCATCTCTACATTGCATAACGAAAGAGTTTGTATTTAAAATAAGCTGAGTACCACACAAATATCATATTCTGCGACTCAAAGGCACATTTGAGGATTTCAGAACGATCAAAGTTTGGGGTGGTTGTTTCCCTTTTCTTTTGGGTGCAACGAATGTACACATGGCAGGCAAACATGAGTGTCTTTAAATCCTACATGGCATCTCCAAGATGAGCCAGACTTCACACCCCTCTGATCCATTATTGATGCAGCTGTCCACCGATAGCAGGGGGGGAGGGGGGTAGGGAAGGACACCAGCCGAAGAAGTGAAAAATGTTTGATGGGGAAATTGAATGGAGGGTTGGCAGAAACAGTGGGGTGCGCGACGACACAAAGTGATGGGGTGGGTGAAGGGAAGTAGTTGGGTGGGTGAAGGGAAGCAGCGGGGTGGGTGAAGGGAAGCAGTGGAGTTGGGAGCGGTGGAGCAGAGGGTTGGATGTCGTCACGCCTGCCACCGTGGGGTCATAGTGGAAAGGGAAGGGTCGGATGAGGGGAATGGGGAGGGACAGGAGAGGGGGGAAAGGGATGGCCGGGAGAGGGGTGAATGGTGGGACTGAATAGGGGGAAAGGGAAGGGATGGGAGAAAGGGAAAGGAAGGGTTTAGGAATCGGGGGATGCCTTGAAAGGACAAGGGTAGGGTAAAGGGTGGATGGTGGGGGAAGGAGGGACGGACACCGATGGAAGGAGGGACGGGAACGGGGGGAAGGTTTGAATGGTAACGGGGGAAAGGAGGGACGGCGGGAGTGGGGGAGAGGAGGATTGGTGGTGGAGAGACAGTGAGAGCGAGCCGCTTGCTACCGTCGCGCCTTTGCTGCCTGCAGGGAAGGGCAAGACGCCAAGGGACCGACGGACAAGGGGAGTTCGGGAATGGGGAGGCGTGAAACTGAAGGTGTGGCATAGGAGGATGTGCCATGGGGGATGGTGGCAGGGGGGAATGCCCTGGAACAAACAAGGGGGAAAACGACGGATGGGAGTGCGAAAAAGCGAGGGTTGGGTGAGGGGACAAGGGGACGAATGGGTGCAGGGGGGGGCTGAATAGTGAATAGTGCTTTGGGTCAATCTCTCACGCTTGAACTAGGACAGGAATGGGATAGGACAGGGGAAGGAGAAAGCGACAGGGGGAATGGGATAGGACAGGGGAGGGACAGGAGAGGAGGGAAAGGGATGGCCATCAGAAGAGTGAATGGTGGGATGGGATTGTGGGAACGGGAAGGGATGTGAGAGAGGAAAAGGAAGGGTTCAGGAAAGGGGGAAATGAGCAGGAAAAGCAGCGACGGTAGTGGGGGAAAAGGGACGAATGGGGGCAAGGGGACGGATGAGAGCAGGGCGAAGCAGTGGGTTGGGAGAGGGGAAAGGAGGGAGGGAGAAGAAGGGGAGGGAAGGATAGGGGGACAGGGAAGAAAGAACAGGGGGGAGGATTAAGCATCAGGAGGAACGAAAACGATGAAAGGGAGGGAAGGACTAAGGGGAAAGGGAGAGAATGACAGGGGGAAAGGGTGGGAAGGACATGGAGGAAAGGAGGAAGGACAGGGGGGAAGGGATAGAAGGAGTGGGGGAAAGGGAAAGAAGGACAGGGGCCTATAGCATGTCGCTGCACGCTCCCGCCTCGCCCGCCACTCGCTAACGCTCGCCACCGCTCGCCACTGTCGCGCCGCTGCTCGCTGTCACGTGCGCAACTAGCCGGACCATGTCGTCTCGTGACCGAGCTGTGCATCGACCTCAGGCGATGCTCGCCACAGTAGCACCTATTCCGACCATCGATCGCTGTTCTTCCCACCCTTTCCCCCTGTCCTTCTCACCCATTCCGGCCCTGTCGCCATCGTGCTTGCAGTTTCTTGCCGCCATTGCGTTTGCCACACACATCCCCTTGCCTTCGCCGCATCGCTACCAATCTCGCTCGCTAAAGCCGCTTGCGAGGTTTGGACGCGTGATGCTTAGGGACCGTCGGAACAGATGCTTTGCCCCGCTGCTCGCTAACGACATCCCGCTGCTCGCTAACGTCGCCCTGCTGCACGCAGACGTCGCCCCGCTGCTCGCTACTGTCGCCATCGCAGCTCACTATCGTCATTGCGCTGTTGTCGCCATGCTGCTCGCTACCGTCGCCGCTATGCTCAGTATCGTCGCCCCGCTGGCTGCTGTCGCACCCAATCCTGCCTGCCACCACGTCGCTCCCAACTACTTCCCTTCACCACGTCGCTGCTTGCCACCGCCGATTCGTGAGAAATAGAGGGACGGGAGAGGGACTACAGAACGAATACCGCGGAGGAAATCGCGCGCAATGCGCTACGGGTACAGCCGCGGTGGTGTTTTTTGGGGTACGAAATAGCGCAGATATTCGAGCGCACACTAAGAGGCGAAGAAGAGCGATAGATCTGGGGCGAATGGCTCTCAAGAAGCCCTACGGGAAGGCACTTCAAGTTAGTAGTAACCTAGCCTAGTGCGAGAGATTGCTGAGTTTGAGCAGTTTTGAGTTCAAGTTTCAAGTTGCAAGTTTGATGCCTGGCCACCCCTTCATGCTGTGGTGCGGTGCTTTTCCGCAAGCCCTCCCCAGCTTCCCCCCCACTCATCATGCTGCGAGGCACTTTTCCGCACGACCTTCCCCCGCTCTCAGAAAGCTCTGCCAACCCGAGACTTCCAGTGTATACTGGGTAACGCGCCTTTCAAGCTATAATACTTTGAACTGGCGCAGCGATATCTGCACCGCGGCTTTAATTTGGGACGCACAGCACTCCCCGGCCAATTTTTGTGCGCCTTGTTCTTGGTTTCCACGACAAGCCTGGGCCCGCTGTGAGCACCACTGAAGCAGTTTTTGGAGATTTCGGACCACTTTTGCACAAGCTCTGGAGGGGTGAATATGTAGAATTTCAGGCTCAGTTCGTACAGTAATGTAATGTATTTTACTGTATTGGCGAATTGGAAGGACAGAAGCCACCCGTGTGGCTTTGTCATGCCGAAGTGATCAGTTCGTCGTCGTCCATCCAACCAAACCCCAACCAGGCACGTGAAGGACAGACCCAATGAATTGGGGGTGCGATTCAGCTCGTCGGCTCGGTCGGGCGGGAGTCGGGACGGCTGTGGGAGGCATACAGAAGTGAACCTTGTTCTTTCGTTCCGACGCTTGGCAGTTGGGCCGTGGAAGTGAACCCCGTCTCAACTCAAGTCTATAGTGCGTGTCTGGTAGTGCATCAGGTTCCGTTGTCTTGGTTATGTATCTGCCCTAGAGGGCAATATGTAAACTCACAAGTCACATCAAACAAACAGGATCACACTCCCCTTGCTACTCTGGGATGGTTTGAGGCATTCAACCATAGGACGGCCAGACAAGGATAGGTGAACAATTCAGTTCAGTTCAAACAAGGATTGGTTTGAACTGAACTGAATTGTTTTTCAATGGGCAGACCGTTAGTCAGGTCAACACAAACAACACCAGCAACAGTATCCCGGCGGATTGCCTTTCCTTTTCTCCGCCAATTTATCTGCCCCTGCGCTACCTCCTGCAGCCCCCCCCCCCCCCAGCCTACACACTTCCCCTCACCCTGCTGCTCTGTCTCTCCGCCCTCCCATCCACCACACCACGACTATTTTTGGTTGCTCAGCCAGCTGTAACTTCAGTTTACGTTTCTACTCATACGCTCTTATTCTCTTACTTCGCATTACACAGTCCCCTCACATCGTACGCTCTCTCGTTTCATTCGTTCTCTTCGCATCATTCACTCGCATCGCGTCGTATCTGTTCGTCATGTCTACTACTGCGGTCACATTCAGTGATTCCGCTGCACCGTTTGTTCCGCAATGTGTCACCAGCACCAGAAATGGTGCTGGATTTTCCTCCAGCGTTTCTCCTCCTCAGCTCCTCGGCTCGTTCTGGAAGCCCGTCGGTTTAAGCCATTGCCAAACGTCCGACGACTCTATTCAATTGTTAAAAGCTCCTTCCGCGAGTTTGACGCCGCCTCTTACGCTGAACAGCGGCAGCCATGGATCCAGCGACTCGTCGTCGCGACACGACGCCGAAACTCTTCGCGAGCCAGCATTTCCCTCTCAACACGGAGCTTCAGGGGACGAAACAGCGCCAAATTTCGCAACAAATCCGTCAATTGCGTCGCAAATGACGGCGCAGAATCAGGGAGGAACTGTTCGGGCAATTGACGACGTGGAGCTGTGGCATGCGTGCGCCGGACCTCTCGTTACACTCCCAGCCGTCGGATCTGTCGTGGTGTACTTTCCAGAAGGACACGTGGAGCAACAGCAATTATTGGCCGAGGTAAGAAACTCGATATTCTCTCAAACTTCACTCGTCAGACGGAATTCACACGTTCTTTTTCAGGTACAGGCCAGTGCCGTTCTAGATTTCCTCGTTTTGTTTTTACATGTGTTTTTGCTGGAGGCGACTGGATTGTACCGATTTTACAGCCCAATCTATCAATCTGCTCATGTTTTGCAGACCAGAAACACTTCTTGCACCGCGTCCGACGAAGCGCAGCGGCAATGGGATCCGCAGCATGCAGCGCCGCACAATACGCCTTCCGCAGCCGCCGCGGGAGCAATGCGAGACGGCGGCTCCGCCTCTAGCGGCGACTGCGCCGGCGCTCGCGGCAGCTCTCACGATGAAGGCAGCGACGCTGCTAAAGCCGCGCTGCCTCCGAGCCACATGTTCTGCCGGCTGGAGTCCGTGTTGCTACAGATTGACGTCGAGACGCACGAGCTGCTGGCCACCATGCAGCTACAGCCTATCCAGGAGGTACGCCCGGTCGTCGACTCTTCCCCACATCCATCTTCACCGTTGATAATTCTCAATTCTCGTGTTCCAAGTTCAATTCGTCTCCAATTGCTGTTCTGTTTCGTCAATTACCGAGTAATCCCTCCCTCCTTCCGCTTTCCGCCGCTTTCTCCTCTACGATTTTCGTCCAATTGCCAGGCGGAGGCGGCGGAGGAGCAGGCGCGGGCAGCGCGCGCAGGCGCGGCGGCGAGCGGAAGCCGCGTGCTGTACGCGCGCACGGAGCAGGACCGCGTGAGCTGCAAGCGGCTGTCAACCAGCGACACGTCCACGCACGGCGGCTTCTCCATCCCGCGCAAGGCCGCTGAGGCCTGCCTCCCCCACCTGGTATGCCGCCCAGAGTTATTCTCCCCCAAGCTTCGGTCCCCCGTGTGAGGGCTGCCTTCCGCTGTCTAAATTGACAGTCGTGCGCTCATGATTCCGCTCCTCTCCGTGCTGTGTCCGTCTGCGCACTCTCCTGTCACCTCGCGCTCAATTCTCTCCTCCTCTCTGTGTATGCGTTGGTGCTTGGTGCGGTGCGGTGCAGGACATGACGCAGTCGGTGCCATCGCAGCGCATCACGGCCACGGACGTGCTGGGCAACCAGTGGCTCTTCCGCCACGTGTACCGCGGCACGCCCAAGCGCCACCTGCTCACCACCGGGTGGAGCGCGCTCTCCGCCACGTGGGGCCTCGCTGCTGGCGACCGCATCGTCTTCCTCAGGTGCGCTCAATTGTCTCTTCGGAGCCTCGAAGCTGTCGTGTGTTTCGCCTCCCAGGCGTCGCAGCACAATGCAGCGCAACCATCACCCAGCTCACCGCCCCCTCGCCCCCCCTTCCCCTCCTCCACCCCCTCAGGAACAGGCACGGCGCGCTCAAGGTGGCGGTGCGGCGCAGCGAGGCGGCCATGGCGGCCTTGCAGGCGCAGCGCCAGGCGCGCCACGCTCAACGGTGTTCCCTTGACGTTGACCATGTGGGGGATTCCGCCGCCATGGCGCACACCCCAGCCTCCCCAGGCCTGGCGGAGGTGGCGTCTGCTGATGCTGTGCTGGCCACTGCTGCTCGCTGCTACAGCCGCCGCACGGCCTTCTCTGTCACCTTCCACCCATGGTGAGTCAGCTTGCAACAATGATGAGTCAGCTTGTGCCATGCTGTCAGCTTCTCGAGTCAGCATTCAACCTTGGCAATTCAGCTTCCACACCTCGCTCCTCCTCACTCCTCTCGTCCCCTTGCCCCCTTCTCCCGCCATGGCAGGGTGAGCGCCTCAACGCCCTTCGTCATCCCGCTCCCCGACTTCACACGCGGGCTGCACGTGAAGGCGGCGCTACAGCCGGGCAGCGAGGTGCGCCTCACGCTCGAAACCGACGACCTCGCCACGCGCCGCCTACGTGGCACCGTGCTCTCGCTGCACCACTCGCCTTCTGCCACGTGGCCCTCCTCGCCCTGGCGCTCGGTGCAGATCAAGTGGGGCGACACGGACGGGGCAGTGAAGCCCACGCGCCTCTCCCCCTGGCTGCTTGACGACGCCCGCGCCCTCGCCCAGCCCTGCTCCTCCTTATATGCCTCCTCCGGCTCCGCCCCCCTTTCCACCACCTTCGCCTCTGTCCCCACTATCGCCACCGTTTCTGCCAGTGCTGCTCTGCTGTCACACTCCGCCCAGCGCCCCCCCCCGCTCTCCCTGCCACCACCTCTCTCCAACCCTGCTGCTGCTGCTGCTGCTCCCCCTGCTGCCGCCCCTGCCGCCCCCCTCGCAGCGGGACAGCAGGGAGATGGGGGCAGCTGGGGCCCCGCCCCTCTGTGCCTCCCCTCCACTGCCCCTCTCTCTCACACCCCCCTCACCTCCTTTTTTCCTAACCACTCCCTCCCTCCGCGGCCCATGCCTTCCGAACCTGGCCACGCCAAGCCTGATGCGATGGTTTGGTCGCAAGCCCAGCCTGCCATGGAGTACAGCGGATCTCGCGAGTCGCTTACAACAGCCACCCCTGCCACCGCTGCTACAGCCGGTGCCGGCACTGCATCTCCGGCTGCGCCTCGCCCGGCCTTCCCTCGAACCCTCACTGCTCCTGGGGGCTTCACAGCCTATGCCCCTGCCAGCTCCCGGCAGGGCGGGGTGAAGAGGGAGCAGCAGGAGGCGGGAGCAGCGGTGCATCTGACGCTCTCTCTCGGCCTCTCCGCCTTGACCGCCTCGCCCCCCTCCGACCACTCCTCCCCGAGCCTCAAGCGGCGGCGCACAACAGGCCTCGACATCCCTGTGCTGCGCCACGCGTGCCACTCGGAGTCGGATGTCGCCCGTCTGCTGCACGCCCAGCGGCCTGAGAGGACGGACACGCTTGACAGCGACCTTGTCATGCACCCCGCATGCCCGTCCGATGATGCTCGTGCTCTTGCTGGTGCTGCTGAAGTGAGTGGTGCGGTGGGTGGTCCTCCTGGCTGTCTCTTCACGCTGCCCTCCTCGCCCAGCTCTGCCAGCGGTGGCACACCCAGGAGCAGCAATGGTGACTTGGAACGCACTGTAATGGAGGAGCGGGCGGCAAGTGGCAAGCACGAGGCAGCAGGGGGGGCGGAGAGCATGGATGGGCAGACGGCTTCCCCATCCAAGCAACCCGCGTCGCCCTGCAAGCTGTCTCCCTCGCCATCCCGGGCGGCCAACAGACGACGGATTAAGGTGAGGCGATGCGAGTTTGAAGTGTATCGAGGCTTGGGGAAGCATGGTTGCATGGTTATGTGGATGCGTGGATGCATGGATGCATGGATGCGTGGATGCGTGGATGCATGGATGCATGGATGCGTGGATGCATGGATGCGTGGATGCGTGGATGCATGGATGCATGGATGCGTGGATGCATGGATGCATGGATGCATGGATGCGTGGATGCATGGATGCATGGATGCGTGGATGCATGGATGCATGGATGCGTGGATGCATGGATGCATGGATGCATGGATGCGTGGATGCATGGATGCATGGATGCATGGATGCGTGGATGCATGGATGCATGGATGCATGGATGCGTGGATGCATGGATGCATGGATGCATGGATGCATGGATGCATGGATGCATGGATGCGTGGATGCATGGATGCATGGATGCATGGATGCATGGACGTATGGCAACCCCTCACTCCTCACCTTGTGCTCTTTCTCTCCGCTTGCCGTTGCTTCTCTCAGCTGCGGGTGGAGGGAAGCCCAGTGATGCGCACTGTGGATCTGAGTGGCATCGGCAGCTTCCAATCGCTGTACGCCACGTGTGCAGCCATGTTGCAGCTGCCTCTGCAGCAGCCAGGGCAGCCCGCAGCGGGTGCCACATGTCCCTGGCAGCTCACCTACACCGACGCCGACGGCGACACGCTGCTTGTTGGTGACGGGCCATGGAGCATTTTTCTGGAGCACGTGCAGATGCTTACCGTCACGAAGGCTCCAATGTAATGGCTCATTCGATACAACATCAAGAGACGCTGGTGCTCTTTCATCCGGACAGGATTTGTTTTGGGCGAGCTGCAAGCAAGCATCAGCATAACTGCTCGTTGTGTTGAGTCTTCTATGTAGATTTCTTTTTGCCAATCTCTTTTACCTTGGTTTACCAGTGTAATGGCTCATTCGATACAACATCAAGAGACGCTGGTGCTCTTTCATCCGGACAGGATTTGTTTTGGGCGAGCTGCAAGCAAGCATCAGCATAACTGCTCGTTGTGTTGAATCTTCTATGTAGATTTCTTTTTGCCAATCTCTTTTACCTTGGTTTGTATAGCTTTTGTTCTCTAATGTGATTCATATCTTTTGCTGTACTTCCTCTCGTTCAAAAGGAAAGTTACTTCCCGTCACACAAAAACTCAATGACCGCTAACATTTCGCGAAAGAAAGGTCTTTCGATGACTGCAGTTCTCCCACCGCGCGAAATCATTCGGTGGTAGAGTAACCATCTGTTTCACCAAGCTTCGCCGAGCGTACTACCTACCCCTACATCCACTCGACGCCGCGTTTCCCGGCGGCATGCGAAGCGGCCATGGCGCGCTTCACGCCGCAGGACTTCTTTTTCAAGGAGGCGCGCCGCCTCGGCTACGTAGCGCGCTCCGCGTTCAAGGTGCGCTCTCGCGCGCCCCGTGCTCGGCGCCGCGAGTCATGGAGGTCCCGCGTCGACCAGTGTCCCCCGCGTTTGCAAATAGCGTTGGAGCACCTGCCGCGTGCTAAGCGCGCTCGCACCGCGGACTGCATGCGCGGGGGCGGACGGAACCGCCCGCATTTCCCCGCTTTCCCCTGCCTCCGCCGCTCTCTCCCCCTCCCGCGCCTGCCCCGCGGGCACCCTCCTTCCACCGATGCAGAGCGCAAATTGCTGCACCGGATCCGCATTTCGCAGCGTGTCTCCCCCACGCCTCCGCCGTCCCTCCCTATTCCCCTTATCGCGTCCATCCCTCACCCATCCCTTCCTCCCACCCTATCCTCTCCCCTCTCCCCACTCCTCCTCTGTCCCACAGCTGCAGGAGGTGCAGAGCATACACAACCCATTCCCCCGTTCTTCCCCCTGCCCCCCCTTCTTCCCCTCCGCCTGCGCTTCTCCCCCTCCCTCCCCACCGCCAGCTGCAGGAGGTGCAGCGGCGGCACGCGGTGATAAGGAAGGGAGGCGCCGTGCTGGATCTGGGATGCTGCCCGGGGGCATGGCTGCAGGCACGTGCTGGGGATGGGGGCATGGCTGCAGGCACGTGCTGGGGATGGGTGGTAGGGAAGGGTGGTGGGGATGGGTGATAGGGAAGGGTGGTGGGGATGGGTGATAGGGAAGGGTGGTGGGGATGGGTGATAGGGAAGGGTGGTGGGGGCATCACCGATGCATGCCTGAATAGCCACATTATGTCCGTTCGTTCGTATCATGGTGTGTACTGCCATGGGGGGCATGTGCCGCATGCTTCTATTTCTGTTGCTGCCGCATGCGACTCATGCGGCATGGCAGCACAGCAATGGTATGAGCAGCGGTGCGCTATTGTCCACTTGCCCCATCCTTCACACATGCCTCAGAATTCACAACGCCTCAAATAATGCCTGCCCTCTACACTGCCTCAACGCCTCAAATAATAATGCCATCAGCCTGTGTGCGTGCGACCAGGCCCTTCATGCCTTCCATGTGCACACGTGTCTGCCGCGCATCACATCACATCACATCACATCGCATCACATCACATCACATCACATCACATCACATCACACCACACCACACCACACCACATCACATCACATCACATCACATCACACCACACCACACCACACCACATCACACCACACCACACCACACCACACCACACCACACCACACCACACCACACCACACCACACCACATCACATCACATCACATCACATCACATCACATCACATCACATCACATCACAGGTGGCATGCCAGGCCCTGGGCCCCATGAGTCAAGGCGGCTGTGTGGTGGGCGTCGACATTCAGGTGCATGCCCTGCTACCTTCCGACATTCAGGTGCATGCCCTGCTACCTTCCAACATTCAGGTGCATGCCCTGCTACCTTCCGACATTCAGGTGCATGCCCTGCTACCTTCCGACATTCAGGTGCATGCCCTGCTACCTTCCGACATTCAGGTGCATGCCCTGCTACCTTTCGACATTCAGGTGCATGCCCTGCTACCTTCCGGCATTTGCTATCTCAAAGCTCCTTCTACTAATCCCTTCTTTCCCAACCCCACCCAACCCCCCTCCCACCATGTCCCCTTCACCCGCCTTTCCCCCTTCCCCCCCCATTCCCCCCCCATTCCCCCCCATGCCCATCAGCCGACAGCAGTGCCCCAGCGGTGGTGTGACGGGCGAGTGCGGGTCATCCAGGCAGACGCCTTGGCCCTCTCGCCGCTCCTCCTGCTGCGCCTCCTCTCCTCTCTCCAGGCACGCCCCCCCTTGCTCCTTGCTGCTACCCTCTCCCTCCTTCACCTCTCCCCTCACCTCGCACTCACCTCGTTCGCACGCACGTTCGTTCCGGCCCAACAATGGCAAGGCGGCACAGTGCCGTTCATACCTGCCCAACAATGGCAAGGCGGCACAGTGCCGTTCATACCTGCCCAACAATGGCAATGCGGCACAGTGCCGTTCATACCTGCCAGCTCACCTGTGCTGTCGCTGCTGCCTCCATGCGCCACTCCACTCCAGTCTCCTGCCAACCCCTTCACTTGCTTCTCCCCGCCCTCCCTTCCCCATGCCTTCCCTTCACCTGAAAGCCCCACTCGTCCACCACCACTCCCCTGGGCACGACCCTGCTCTGTGTCTCCCCTGGGCACGACCCTGCTCTGTGTCTCATTCCCGCCCACCTTCATTGCTTCCTTCGCTCATGCCAACACCAGCTCTTTCAGCTGTTTGTTTCCTCCCTCCACACCCCAAACATCCCCACCTCATCCTCCCCTTCCCCTTCCCCCAACTCCAGCCCCCTTCCTTCCCCCCTCCCCACGTCACCATGCTCCTCTCGTACATGTGCCCCCAAATCGCATGTCCGCCCTTTCTACTGCTTCTCCCCTCTCTCCCTCCCTCCTCTTCCCCCTCCATCCCCATTCCATCCCCATTCCATCCCTCCCCATCCCTCCCCATCCCTCCCTTCCCTCCCCTTTCCCCCCCTCCAGCCCCACTCCTCCTCTCCTTCGTCCAGCTTCACCACGCTGCTATCAGACATGTGCCCATCCACCTCTGGCGCCTCCCCCTCTGATGTCGCTACCTCCCACTCCCTCGCCCTCCGCGCTCTCGCCCTCGCAGCCCAACCCTTCCACAAGCACTCGGAACCGCACAGCACCCACTCTCACCACCACACGCACTCACAACAAAACGGCTCCCACTTGTTGCATTCAGGCCTGCACACCTTTCACCCATCCCCACCAGAATCCTTTGACGCACGACCTGCACACCCACACCCATCGACCCACAACCGCTCACATCCAGATCCAGCCTATCCTGACACTGGTGGGGGTGGGAGCAGAGGTACAGGTGCCAGGGAACCCGCAGGAGAAGCAGCAAGAGAGGCAGGAGCAGCAGCAGCAGGGACGGAGTCTGTAGCAGCAGTAGTAGAGAGACCAAGTGCACGCATGCAAGGAGCTCAACAAGTGGGGGGGCGTTCAGCACAGGGGTGTGGGGAAGGAGGGGCAGCAGCGCAGGGGGGAGTGCTGGCAGTGGGGGGACACATGGTGGTGAAGCTGCTGGAGGGTGACGACACTCCAGGTACGGTGGTGGGCGGTGGTGGGCAGTGGTGGACAGTGGTGGGCAGTGGTGGGCAGTGGTGGACAGTGGTGGGCAGTGGTGGGCAGTGGTGGGCAGTGGTGGGCAGTATGGGGATGCCGCAGGTATTGGTGGGAGGGAGAGTGGCAACACCCCATGTGAGGAGGTGAACGGTGAGGGCACACCGAGGCGCGACTTGCAATGCTTGCTGCTTTCTCATGCCATGCACCCTGTTTCCACATGCTCTCTTCCTGCCCCTCCTTCCTCTCTCCTTCCCTCTCTCCCAGCAACGGTCCCCAGCCACCTTACCTTCTGTCCCGATTAACCACCGTTGGCTTGCAAACATCCCCCTCTCAACCCCCTCCCCCCTTGACTTCCCCCCAGCCTACGTGGCAGCGTGCAGGCCTCTCTTCTCATCAGTGACGCGCCTTCGCCCCAAGGCCACCCGGGCCTCGTCCCGCGAAATA